CTTTTCTCACTTCCTCTTGTGAATATCTTAGCAGCTTTAGCGTCCCTAAAGGTGATCCCAGACATCTGGGGTAAGGAAGCCATCTTGAAGGCTGACATATATCAACAAAGCTTTGGCCATGCCTGACATTCAGAACACAAATGTACATCCGAAAGATGGGTCTTTGGTTTTAAGATAAAATCTGAGAAGTTTCATGGCTTTACAACCTATCAACCATACTTATTTTGCGTGATCACGGATCTACAGTAGGTTGTTGGATCAATGGATTTAGAGTCCAGAGTGCTGACCATTACAATATGGAACGTGGGATCAGGTAAGCATGCTATTCACATCCTCATGAAGACATGCAACTTCTTGTCATTTCACCATCTGGGTCTAGTTGATAACTTTGTTGGAAATCAAATTGAGGTAAGGATTTCAAAGGTTCAGAACAATGACGCTTCCCAACTTAATAGCAAGAATGGCACAAAGTTGACATTTATAAACAGCAAAACTTTTAAACTTGTTCCATTAAACCACTATTCTAGATTTTCAAAAGCTAATATTTGTCCTTAGGGCTTGAACCTTGGTCCTCTCAGGCCTGTTGGATTCATCCATCTATTAATTTGACTCCCTTATTGGAGTCAGGCCTGGCAAAATGTCCAGATGCTCTTCTCCACTTAAACTTCCTCAAAGGATTCTCAGGCCAGATTGGATATGTAGTCTATGCGTGATTTTCTTTGCTTGCATAAAAATGCCAGATACTTACTTTTGAGGTAGAAATAGCGAAACCATCACATAGTTTTTCTTCAATTGTTAAGGACAGAAGCATATTCAGTTCTTTTTTTCCATCCTTTAAAATCAATCAATCAATATTTTTTACTAAGCAACACATGAAAAGTTTGGTTGCAGTATGTCATTTCTTCATGAAACCAAACTATTCCCTTATCTTTTGTGAGGAATCTTTTATATTTTCTCCAGAAAAAGACATTAAACTAAACATCAGTGTAAGGCTTTGATTCAGAAGTTATGCAAGAGATGTAAGAAATAAAAAGCTCCTTCAGATGCCATTAGCAGCAATCGAACATGCTGTATTTGTAGAGTGAAGCTGATGCATTTCCTTTTCCCCATAAATGTGCCCTGTAAATTGACCCGTCAGTGGAGCAGAACATGAACATCAAGTCACATTTCAGCTGAAGTGACAGATGGTTAAACACACGTAATGTTTTTTTTTAGTAGAACAGAATGACCAATTCTTCCCCGCAAAAAAGACCCCAGTGGGTGAATTACTGCAAATGAGATGTTCCGTCTTCCATTCAATTTGTTAACTTGGGCAGTCCACATGATAATAAGCCAACAAAGTGTATCTATCTGTAGATAACGTGCAATGGAGTGTGATAATACAAAGCCAAAGGACTGAAAGGTTTATTCACCCAGCAGGGGATAGAAACTCACAATGATTATGAACACACACAAAGTCGCTGATCTACAACTGATTGACGATTACTTGCAGTGTAACAACGTTATATGCATGTGAACACACAAGGTTCTGGGGGCTTATTTATAGCTTCTGTGAAAGCCTCTTTCCCTATGGGATTGAAAGTGGCAGGTCTGCTCCTTTCATCAGAGTGTGATGTAAACTGTTCCTACTGACAACTGCCAGGAGACCACAACAATGACAGAGTAGAGGTGGAAGACACGGTGAGGGGGAAGTTTAAGATGAAATGAAAAGACAGGAAGAAAGAGAGTGAGAGGGAGACGCATGGAGTTACTCTGTGTGTGTGTGTCTTACTATTCATTTCAAGCATCAATCATGTTTGTTGTGAGCTACCAATGTAAGCAGAGTGTTTATAGCCGTAATTCACAAAATGACTTTTAAATCGGAACACTTTGAACACCAGTGGGTGTTTTACTTTGGATCTTGTTTTTTCTGGAAAACAACCTGGGGCCACTATAGCTTTAATTATTCTTGTGAAGAACAAAAATGACAACTTAATTAGAAATGTTTCCAATTTACTGCAGGTGTCCCCATTTTTTTCAGGGTATTTATTTAACATTAACTTTACCCTGACAGGATGTGGCGTTACATAGGTTCGACTGAAGAACATCATTGAAAAACCTATGAAACTGTCATATACTGTAACAATGGACCATAACAATGGTTTACTTGTTTAAATGAATGAATGTGTTTTGAGCTTATTGCAGCGGTTTCTTATTTACAGCGTTTCTTCATGCAGCGCTTTTAGTAAATGTTAAGTATTTTTCATCAAGTTGGTGAATGTTTTTTAGATTCAGCGCATTGGTTGTCAAGATGATGAAGACGTTTCTTCTTAGCATGAGTTTCGGCACATTTGTGTTTATAAATTATTCGTCAAGTAAACAGTTTGCAGATTAGATAATTAAATAAATTGTTAGTTTGATACCTAATTTCATGAAAAAAAGATTGACTTACAATTATAAGGTAACATCGAAAGAACTCGCTTTGATTTAATTAGCAATGCCCAAGTTCAACAATTGTCGCTCCTTTACTCTATAGTTTATTGCCTGTAAAAGTATGTGTTTCACTCAGGCAGTGACTGCAGGCATCTGGAAAGGCCAAAGTGAAAATCATTAACTCCTGCGACGCAGAACGTTTCAAATGACAAGCTCTTCTGCATTGTTCTCTCTCTCCTGCGGCACCCTGGGGCGCATTCAAGAAAAAATGCCAACTCTGAAGCTGCTGGAGACAGGCAGGCTTTGAGAGGAGGGAACATTTTGCGTTAAGAAGGCAATGTGTGTGGGTGTATGTGTGTGTGTGTGTGTGTGTGTGTGTGTGTGTGTGTGTGTGTGTGTGTGTGTGTGTGTGTGTGTGTGTGTGTGTGTGTGTGTGTGTGTTCGTAGAGAGCTTTTAGAGAAACACAACGTGAGAAGAAAAAGAAAGACAGCCAAAGAGAGAAACAGAAAAAGACTGAACGGAATAGAAACTGTACACAGACACAGAGGGAGGGAGACTGTTCCATCTCTTAACCTTATTAAGAATGGATGTGTTCTTGGCCTTGCTGAGGAGAGAGGAGAGGAGGAGGAGTGGAAGGTTATGGAGGAAAGCAGAGAAGGAGGGAGGGGGAGAGGACAAAGGATGAAAGGAGTTTACAGAATATAAGATTAAGATGAAAGAGAAGACGAGAAAACAGCAAAGGATGGGAAACAAGCAAGCCGGAAGTCAAATGAGCCGAATGCTACTGTACCTGCGGGCACACATGCATCTGCGAGATCACTAAGTCCCTTTGGTGTTGACTGGTTCACCATGATAATAATAATGGGGTCAATAATATCGAAAACATGGCAAAAATGATTAACATTTCAAAGCTTTAGCTATCTCAGAAAGTTAGGTGGAGAGAAAAAAAATGCCAGAAAGAGTTCACTGCTGATGTCAGAAGGCATGGCGTGCAGATAACTGTCATGCTGGGGAATCACGTAAAATACAACAAAAACTGAAACAATCCCATTAAATACAAACACAAAAATAGAACTAAGTGGGATGTTAACATAAGAACTGTTTGATAAAACCAAATATCCCTATCAAATCTATTCCAACACATTTGGATCAAACACTTTAAAGTAGGCCACATTCTGCATATTTTCTCATTTGTTTTGCCTATTTACACTTCTTTTAAACATGTCTTCTCATCAAGGTTGTAATAGTTTTTCCAAATATATTTTTTAAATAATTCTATATTAGCTCCTTTACAACCTATATCCCTCTTACTGTGTTTATGCATGCACCATTATATATTATAGCAAATTCCTTGTATGTGCCAATACATCTGATTCCGATAACTGTGCCTGAAGTGATGAAAATGTTGAGCATGGGAGCGTAGAAATTCTACATTTTCTAAACATTTTCAACCCAGAAATACACCATCTGTCGACAGACCAGCTGCTCCTGGGTCACGTATTAGAAACAGGTCACAGAACCATTTTTGGATCCTGACTCAAAGCTTCAGAACCCCTGCTGTGCTGCAGGAGAGGACTGCTTCCCGTTCAGGGAGGGAGTATCAGGAGCAGGCTAGACTACCCCCCACACCCCTCAAACCCTCTACACACCCAGACCGTGAAACTGTTTACTAGGGTACTAGGATACATTTGCCCTCTGGTCTTGATCATAATTGCTTTCCAATCCCATGTAACCCTTCTTTATTTGGGTCGTGGTCAAGGTTTGCAGAACCTGATCTCTTTTTTATTTTCAACGCAATTAAAGTATTAAAAGCAGCTGGTCTCCAGGGGAAATATTAAGTGATGAAAAATAACTCCAACAGTATTGATGAGCTGACCTAAATTGAAGTAATTGCTGCGTAATTGCCACTTCCTGTGCAGATAATGCTGCATCTTTTTACAGGTTTATGCCCCTTGGCTCTGCATAAAATGATATATTACATCAGAATTCTGTAACAACTTGATCAATACATGTTTTGGTACTGAGGCGTTTTCATTCATATTTAAAGTTTTGTGATGAACTTGCCCGAAGCAGCCTAGCAGGGAATCCGGTTTACTGATGCTGCTTTCACTCTGGGTGTGCCGAATGGTGGGAGTGCGCGTCGGACTTTCTTTGAACTGTCCATCATTAAAAGCAATGCTGTCCTGCACTGACTTTTATGATGACTTGTGTAATGATGTGGAGAAAAAGTGCACAGATAAAGCCACAAATATGGGAGTATTGGTGGACAAACACATTTACAGTACACTTTTTGACGGGGCACCAAGAGGAAAGATAGTGTTCAACATTGACCGGTCAATGTCCGTCATCGGGAGATCAAAGGCTTGATTCCCGAAGGACAAGTGCCGTGCAATCGAGTTCATTAACGAGGCAAATCACCTGCTGAACTCACACTATACACATTCACGGTATTTTTAAAGCTCGTTTCTGTGCGTAACTGCGCACTGCACCGCTCCGTACGCACTGCTCACTGGATGCTTTCATCCCACAGCCTCCCACCCACCCACCCTGTCCGGCTGACCACTGCCTCTCTGCTCCCCATACTCACATCCAAAATAACGGAGATGCCTCTCCGCGGTTCCGGGGCGAAGAACTGCTCCTGAGCCACGGCCACATCCTCCTTGCTGGAAGCGAACTCCCGGCTGGAGATGTTCTTGTTGTCACTCATTTTGGTTACGATCCAGCGGACGAGCCCGTCGATTCCACCGGGCTGGGCTCCGCTGTTTCCGGACTGTGCTGCCGTGGCGGACTCGCTGTCCTCCTGACCGGCTACGGGGTTCGGCTGCTCGCGGCTTTCCTGGCTCTCGGCTCGAAGTTTGGCTTGTTCTTTGTTGAGCAGTTTGTGGACTCCGTCCCTACAGTAGCGCGCTGCCTGCTCACACATCCTTTTGCTGCGGAGCGCTCATGCTGCGCTCTATGGGGGAGCGAGAGAAGCCCCCACCCCCCACATCCCCTATTACATCACAGCACCCACCCCAAAGCACACCCACCAGACCCCCAATATCGGCTATCTAAAGGAACATCCTTAATATATTCGAGTGATAATTGTAAGATTTAAAAAGTTTACGCCATTTTTGTGTGTGTTTTGCTTTGCTTCATTGTGCTGTAGTAAGACTAAGCTATGTCATATTCTGGGTTTGGAGCAGTGGCGGTTCTACGGGGTGGCACGGGGTGGCAGCTGCCACCTCAGAAAAATGCCTTGCCACCCCAACTGCCACCCCATTTGGCAGCTTTGTTTTGAAAGAAAATTTGTGGCTCATCGGACATTTATGAGAGAAAATCTCTAATGTCCGAGTGAATGCAGCACAAGACGCGAGCCTTGTAACCCCTCCCCCCCCCCTGGCGCGAGCTTGGAAATCTGATTGGCGGCGATTTCATTTGAACGGGAGGACAGCGCAAAACGAGAAGCATTTCGGATACAAGTAGACAGAAGGAATGAGGTATTTGCGGTCAGGGTATGGCTGGGGTAGGCTACAGCCATACCAATAAATGGCTTAGCCCCACCATGAACAATGATGTTAAAGTAAGCAAAATAAAGTCTTCCAACTCGCGGAGTAAATTGCACAGACAGCAGTTAGTAAGATTGATTTCAGTAGCCACTTGTCTGGAAATACCGAAGACTAGAAACGGTTTTGAACACTTTTGTCACGTAGTGATCGTCTTCTCAATAGAACATCTTTGATAATATCTTCTGGCCAATCAGAATTAAGATAACGGCGTGGTGTTGTTGCAGGAAGTCTCGACGGAGAATACTTTTGCTGTAGTAGATCTCTATATAAATCGGTACAACTGTAAGACCCCACGGTTTGATGATTGATAGGTGTGTGGGCTGTCTTTCATTTTGACACACAGAACAATGGGGGCTATCCACCCTTATCCACAATGTAAAGTAATTCACACAGCCTCTTCCCTCTCCTCTCTATGAGGAGCAGCAGGTTCAGCTTTCAGAACAAAGTAACAAAAAACTAAAATGGCATTCATTTTTT